AGGTTTCCAAGAAAGAAAATTCTTAGAATATTCACCATGGAAGTAAAAAAAATCTGGGTTTTGAATGTCATGAGGTAAGTAACAGATTGTGAACTATCTATTATAGGGTGACCATACGTGCCATTTTCCCAGGATGCGTCCTAGCCAGGATTTCTATATTGCCTAAAATATCTAGGTTTTGGTTTTGTTTGCGTGTGCAGACCGATTGGTGTATGACATCAAAGTCCTGGGAAAATGGCACGTATGGTCACGCTAATCTATTAAATACAAAACTCTCATTTTAAATGAATATACAAGGAAGACCATTGTATGTGTTTACTAGCTAACAGCAACAACCTCATACTAAGTGGATGCTTTATAAAGACACCACATCCACCTGTCATGTAAAAGGGTTAATACACAGTCATCCATGGCACCATTTGAACAGATGCTTTTTGATCTGGGCTGGGGAGCTCTATTTGCTAAATGACTGTTAAATCTTCTCTGGTGATTTTAGGAGTGGGGAGGTTGGGTGGCGGGTGTTTTCAACAAAGGCTTATGTAGAAAAGATGCCCTAAATGTGTGTTCATGTGGGTTAATGCTCGAAGACAGAGCCATTAAAGTTTTACCATGACAGCAATATTTTATTGAGCAGCTTTCTCTGGACTGAGAGATGCCAGAAGTTGAGGCATAAATCTTGCGGCAAATGCAGACCTCCTTATTTGTTTGTGTGAAAAATATGTTTTCTTTGACATGAGCTATCAGAACTCAGCGTGCTTATATACAGCTCATATTATAAATGATTGGGCTAATTTATATATTATATTATTTTATATTTTAGGATATTTTAAATACTAATATATATTATGTTTTGTTGGATTGGGTTTGTGTTTTTACAATTAACTAAAAGCGAAATAGTTCAACCAAACACGAATCGTCATTATGTCATCATCAGTGTCTTTCTGAACATGTATGACTTTCTTAGACATTCACAATGGGCTTGCAACTACACGAGGGTGAGTAAATGATGACAGAATTTTCATTTTTGGATGAACTACCACTTTAAAATGTGTTTGCTATTATAGCAAAAGTAAATATGATCTCTAATGACTCATAAAGATGTTGATGGGCCTTCTTTGATGGTGCAGAAGGAACTCTATCTCACTGTGCATCATTCAATCTCTATGGCAGGGTTCCAGTTTCATAAAAGTGCTCCAGCATGTGCAACCTCATGGGATCAAGCAAAAGGATGCTGTACCAGAGGAGAGAGCGAACCGATTACATGATGGACCTACACCGCTCTCTACCAGGGACCTCGCTGACCCACCCTCCCCCATCCAGAGGCAAATGGAAAGAGAAGGTCTGGTTATTTCTGTGATGTCTGTCCATTAATTGTTAATGCCTTTGAATTGGCTGACTGAGCTTTGCTGAGCCTGAGCTGGTTAATTAGACCTAAGGGACGGAGCAAGAGAGAACAAAATTGACAAAGAGAAGTGGCATTATCTACAGTATGCACAGTAGATCTCACCAGGTTGGATGGGGAAAGAAATCTATGTGTCTAATGTTATAACTCTCACGCAGTGTCAGAAAGTAACTGTTAAGGGAAACATTTGATATGGAATTGATAGGTATTGATATTATTTATATATGAATTGATATGTATTCAATTAAATACAGTGGTGGGCCGTCAGGGCCAGCAAAGCGTTGTCTGCTGGCCTAAACACTATCAGAATCACTGATTTAGTTTTAATATATTTTTCCATGAATGTGTATTAAATTATTTCCAATAGTCTATTCTCTTCAGTTCATAGCTTTTCTCTTGGTTGCACTGCTTCCAGCAGTGTATGTTTATATTAGAGCTTTTATCCAATCATATTTCAGCAATCGTGTTGCCAGGGTCAAAGAAATCTGCCTTAAGGCCTTCAGAATCAACAGTGCAGGCGTCTGTTAGCTTAAATCAATGGCAATGAAACCGTTGCTTTAACCAATCAGATTTCGAGTTGGCAGCACCAGGGCCATCTAGCTGGCTAATAATAACGTCAGCATTTTCTCGTCCTTTGATTGGATGGTCAGCATACTAGCTAGCAAACAGCATCACTGTAAATAATTTTATTAAAACTTAGTAAAACTTTTATTACTGTTTCTCAGGTTTAGATTTTCAGTGCATTTTGAAAAAATATTTGCCTACTATATTTAGTAAATCTAAAAACAGTAGTCCTAATGACTGCGAAAAACAACCACACACCTCCTCGGCACCGGCTCTGTGAAAGACTCGTGAAGATGAAAAACCACTAGAGTATGGTAGGTTAATTTTCATTTTTGACTCTTTTATCGCTTGATGCGTTGTATGCTGAAGTTATTTGCGCGATATAAAGCCAGGTTTAAGTTTCCGTAAAAATATCTCAGTTTCCCGGGTGGAGCTGTATTAACCGGTCTTTTCCTCCGAGGCAGACCAGCGGTGAGATGAGAGTCACAGAGGTACGTTAAAACACATCTATACACTTTTCTTCATCGTCTTGTGTGAATTATTTTAATGTTACTTGCTCACTTTCCTAGTAAAGCTGTGCTAACCAGTATTTTCCTCCCGCAGTGCGCTGGCAGACCGGCGGGGAGACTCGTGAAGACGAAATAAAGCAGTAAGAGAACATTAAATGTAGGACACCACTGAAGGCCTAGGTGTAAAATGCACGGCCCGCCACTGATTAATTAACAGTTTTATTCAGCAAGGACGCATTAAACTGATCAAAATTGACAGTAAAGACTATATTTATAAAGAGTATATTTCAAATAAATGCTGATGAACTTTCTATTCATCAAATAATTTCTTAAGCAGCAAATCAGCATATTGATTTCTGAAGGACCATGTGACACTGAAGACTGGAGTAATGATGCTGAAAATTATGCCATCCCGAAAATAAATTAAAAATAACTTATTATTACCTCGAACTTATTAAATATTATTATTATAGTTATTTTAAATTGTAACAGTATTTTACAATATCACTGTTTTTACTGTATTTTTCACTCTCAGAAAAAAAGGTACAAATTTTAGATACTAACATGTAACTTTAAAGTAACAATATGGACACTTAAGGTACAGAGGTGTACCTTTTGAAAAGGTACCACCCCAGTGACAGCTTTTGTACCTTTTCTTCTGAGAGTGTTGTTCAAATAAATACAGCCTTGTTTAGAGTATAAGAAATTATGTAGAAAGTATGTAGAAAAATTCTACAGTCCCCAAACATTTGAATGGTAGTGTATACACTATTTTATATACTAATTTTGCTCCCATATTTAGAATTATGGGGGCCCCAGTTTGTGAACTTCGGATCTTGCTCTAATCTGATGGTTTGCGTAATTCTGTGTTTTGTAGGTTTTTGCACAGTGGGTGGCATTTTCTTAAGCGTGCATTTAAAACGTTCCCACTAAATATTTTATTTCAGCTATGCATTCAGTCTGCACTGTCTGCACGATATTTCCTTAATAATCTTAATTATTAATAAGATTTATTAATAATCCACAACCATTTGTATGCTCTACTTCACTACATTTTAAATCCAACTGCAAAATAATTTGAATGTTTTAAAAGAGTATCTTGCAAGAGAACAACACAGAATCAAAGAATGCAGTCTTATTATCTTGCCATAAACATCAGTGCACTGGCAAATCTCCCGCTGTTGGGAGCACACAGGAGAGCGCTATAAAAGGAAGACTGTGGTCTTAAAGCATGTACCCTGTATTTCTTCTTTTGGAATATTTCTAGAATCTTGTCGTCTCTCGGTCAGCGTGTTGCCATGGAATTCCCTGAGTGCCGCTCCCTCTCCTTATGTCACACAGTCAGAGTGAGTCAGTATTTTTCCACAGTAAGACATACAGAATATGCAGCTGCCGTCAGTCTTAGCGGGCACACGGATGATGTGCACAGTTTGGAATGTCCCGTGGACTTTGCAACATACTTAAAACGTTGACCTTGGCAAAAAATATTCAAGAAGATGCATATTTTAGGTGCCTGAAAATGCATTTTTCAGAATCTGTGAGTTCAGCGATTAATATTTATGGTAACATTTGATGATTTTACCTCTATCACAGCTGCTGATGATGTGAAATGTTGTGGATGACTTCATCCCAGACCTATTCCCCATAAGGCACTGCTGCTTCTACACCACATGGTCTGCTAACAAAGCACCAGAGATTAAAGAGCTGTCAGTTCGGGGCTTTAATCTCCTAAAGAGGGACCGCTGGGGCACACAGGCACGTCACAGCACATAATTCCTGTCACTGCCTGTTGTCTGAAGGAGGGATGGCAGTGACAGCATTCATGCACGACTTAGAAGGATGATGCTTTTTGCTTATTAACAAAAGACTCAGACTGTACGTGTTTTCATATCGGTTCCCTGAGAGATAGTAGGAGTGGCCACGTAACAAGAGTCCCTCTTGGGCAGTTCAGCCAGATCGTTGTGCAAACACAGCAGGCCCACTGGGGTTAACTCAGCCATGTAATGGCACCACAGTGGAATAATGGGCAGCCGTGCTCGAGTTTGTTTTTGCTTGCCTTGTAAAATGATTCTGAACTGCGAGGACACGTACCTTGGGAAGGAACCTCTCAGTCTGGTTCAGTGTACGATCAGACCGCCGTTCGCAGCATTAGAACCATACATCTCCCTCTTAGAGCACGTTTGCACATATGCCAAAAGTGGGCCAAAGATCACAATCCCAACACACATCTCCACTCATTCAATTTACACTCAGCCGATTCCAATTAGCCCAGGGCGTGGAAACAGAAGAGATTAGAGGGGAGAGGGAAAAAATTGGTGTCTCCAGAATCTTTGCACTGTCCTCATTTGAGGAAATGAAGCATGGCCTCGGCTTGACCCGTCTCCCTGGGCGCTCAAGCAAATGGAGTGAAGCGTGCAGATGTTCGACAGCGCTAAAATATACGTGTAGGTTGACTATATAAGAGTGCACTGACAGAACTGGATCAGTTGCCTTTGCCAGGGGACAAGAGCCACGCTGCAGTGACA